AAGGCAAGATAAAAATAAAGCGTATGTGTACATGGTGATGTGTAGTTTCACATGTTATATGGGTAAAGTCTGACAATTTGTTCTTTGGTCGGACATGCTATATGGGTAAAGTCTGACAATTTGTTCTGTGGTGGGACATGCTATATGGGTAAAGTCTGACAATTTGTTCTGGGGTCGGACATGTTATATGGGTAAAGACTGACAATTTGTTCTGTGGTCGGACATGTTATATGGGTAAAGTCTAACAATTTGTTCTGTGGTCGGACATGTTATATGGGTAAAGTCTGACAATTTGTTCTGGGGTCGGACATGTTATATGGGTAAAGTCTGACAATTTGTTCTGTGGTCGGACATGTTATATGGGTAAAGTCTGACAATTTGTTCTGTGGTCGGACATGCTATATGGGTAAAATATGGACAAGATATTTGGTAGAATTGTAAAACAAACAAAAATAAAGAATTGCAATGGGAGGAAAAATTTAACATGTTATATGGAGTAAAACTTGATCATAGTATAAAATGGATAAAAGCAAAGCTGTAACATCTGTAAATATTACATAGTCGGACATGTTATATGGTCTGACATGCTATATGGTCTGACATGCTGTATGGTCTGACATGTTATATGGTCTGACATGCTGTATGGTCTGACATGTTATATGGTCTGACATGCTGTATGGTCCGACATGCTATATGGTTTGACATGTTTAATGGTTTGACATGCTGTATGGTCAGACTTGCTATATAATCAGACATGCTATATGGTCAGACTTTCTATATGGTTTGACATGTTTAATGGTCTGACATGCTATATGGTCAGACTTTCTATATGGTTTGACATGTTTAATGGTCAGACATGCTATATGGTCAGACATGCTATATGGTCTGACATGCTATATGGTCAGACTTTCTATATGGTCAGACTTTCTATATGGTTTGACATGCTTAATGGTCTGACATGCTGTATGGTCTGACATGCTGTATGGTGTGACATGCTGTATGGTCTGACATGCTATATGGTCAGACATGTTGAGTCTGGTCAGACTTCCTTTATGGTCAAACATGCTAATGATCAGGCTTGCTTTCATAAAGGTCTTACTTGCTATATGGTCAAACTGGTCAGACTTGCTATGTACTTGAAATTGTTGGTTTATCATTGGTGGTCATGCGGTCAAGTTTAACAGATCATCTTTACAGTGATGGTGTAGATTTGGAGCAAAATTGTTGCTCTTAGAATACTGATAATTGATGTGCATGTGTTTGTTTTTTTGCATCAATTTAATTGAACTATTTGATACAGACCTACAGCACAGTGAGAGAAGCATGAATGATGTTCTCATAATTAGGTAGAGAAAGCTAGGTCAAGTTATGAAGTTAGCATGCAGAAACATAAACCATCTACAGTATTTGTCCTCTGCATCAGCTCCAGATGTTGGCACTGGGAATGGTTAACACTTGGAGCAACATGGTTGTCCTGGAACAATTAATGGCCAATAAATCATACAGGCTGGTCCTGTGTGCGTTTGATGTGGATGGGATTTATGATATCATCATAGTCACATTTCTGCTTTTTGTCTTCTCCATTACTCAGCTGTTGCCAAGGGTACATAAAGTATATTTGGCTTGGTAAGAATGCTATTATAGACATTCCTGTCAATGAAGTCTGTAATATAAAAGAAAACCTCCTGTACTGAATGTAATGATTGCAACTAGCTGTGATCATTTTTGACCCAATTTTGTTTTAACCTGTAGACAAACTTAACTCAATATAACCTACTTTTTTGGAATTGCCTCTCTTGCAAAATACGGTAGATAAATAAATATCTTATCCCAAACATGGCTTTGCAAGCTCTGATCAGGCACATATGATACTTGCAGAACTGAATCACTTAACAAGTTCATTTATTTTTGTAAAAAAAAAAGATGACAAAATTTCTTTAGTAGGGAGAAGGTATGCATGTCTGGGGATTTCTTGTTTTGCTAGGAGAGGTGAGGGAGGAGGGTGGGTGTTTGAGAAGAAAGGTAATGGATAATTTTCCATTGAAACCGTTATAATGAGCTTTCACTAATACAAGTGTAAATCACAGGGTTCTGATATGCACCAGTACCACAGGGTCCTCGCTGTTATCTATCGGTTTACAAAATTGACTAGTAATGTCTAGGAGAGTGAGTGATGACCAAGAACTGACCATGGACTGACCATGGACAACTGTATATATGGGTATTTGTGACCTTGCATATAATGTATATATAGCAAAAGTAAGACTTAACGATCTGAGGATTATAACTATAGCTGAACATATAGTATCCTTTTCCTATTTTTAGTTTTTTCATTTGGACAATTTATATGAAATAATGTATGTGGATCATGGCAGTTGGTATTTCACTTTGGATTGAACAGTGATGAATGACCTGACCTGTTTACCCTGCGCTAGCTTGTTCAGCTGTATACTGAAATGAGGGGAGGGATAGTCCATTGGGGTGTATAGGGACATGATAGTTTGAATTAGCTAGCATCCCAAGATTATATGATAGTGCTTAAAGATGATTTTGTATAATAACAATGCCCAGTGATATATAACACAATCTCATATACATAGAGTTCAGATTCAAGTCCAAAAAAATACCTTTTGCATTTAAAGGACTGATTTATAAAATGTAAATTATGAAAATGAAATGAATCATGAGATACACACATGAGCTGTATATATATACAATCTCACTGGTAAATACTCCGATCTGAATATGTCCGTTTTTAACAATGTGGTGTAAGCCGTCCAAGTCTGGCCAAGATCCCTATAAAGTATGTATACATTCATATCCTGAAATGAAATCCAGATTTCCTGTGTTGTGTTGGATTGGGGTAAATACCACTGGTCTGATATAAAACCAGCTGTAGACTATAACTCAACACAACTTCCCTCTAAGGGAGATTTACAATCGGCAAATCTGTTCAATATGTGCAGTTATATGTGAATCTGGAAATGCTTAATATATACAAAATATAACATATCTTTCTTAATTGATCTGTCAGTTTTGGTATATTGGATGATATAATTACCATAAGCTGTGCCAGTTACAATGTGTCTCACTAAGGTGGAGGATCACACATGTTTTAACTTAATTTGCTGTAAAAAGCAGTGTTCCTGTTAAGAAATATTGTATTTTAATGTCAGAGTTCATCCTGTTAGCTTCCTTCCCAACTTAAGTCTCAGAAATGTAAGGTCAGAGTTCATTCTGTGAATTTCAGGTCCAACTTCAGTCTCAGAAATGAAAGGTCAGAGTTCATTCTGTGAACTTCGAATTCAGGTCCAACTGAAGTCTCAGAAATATAAGGTCAGAGTTCATTCTGTGAACTTCAGGTCCAACTGAAGTCTCAGATTCAACTTCAGTGTTGTCTTAAATGTTGATGTCTGATCTAAAGCTCACACAATGCAGTATGCAAAGTATAGAGATTATTGTTAAAAGTATACAAGATGAGAGACAAGAAAAGTCAGGGCAGTGTGGAAAAGTAGAGGGCAGAGGGCAGTATCAGGAGAAGAGGTCATTGTGAACAATGTAGAAGATGTGAGGGTAGAAAGAAAAAGCAGAGGTCCGAGGGCATTATCAGAAAGCAGAGGTCCGAGGGATTATCAAAAGGTAGGGGTCAGAGGGCAGTATCAGAAAGTAGAAGTCAGGGGGCAGGATCAGAAAGACGAGCAGAATACAATATTTGACGGAAGTATGAGTAAGTAGAGGTCATTGTGAATACAAGAATGTCGGGGCAGTGTGGAAAGTAGAAGTCAAATGGCAATATTAGAAAGGTAAAAAGGTAATTGTGAACAATACACGATATACAGGAAGGGCACTGTGTGAGGATGTAGAGTTCAAGAGAGCAATTATGCAGTGTCACAAAGACAAGTTCAGATATACATTATCACAAGGTTGAGGTCAAACAGGACAGTTGCAAAAACTCAAGTGTCATTTAAGACCTTAAATGTCAGAAATAAGTTTGTGGTAAGAAAATAAAAAATCTAATCCTGTTATTACCAACCTGCTGTGATAAAAATGGATAGGATACAAAACTATTAGTTTATAACATTGAACATGGAAAATCTCACACCTAACTGTGACCCCTTATTCAGACATTGTAAGAAACGGCCTATAAATTAAAAATGCATGGATGAATAACTCTAAGCTGTGCATTTGGGTATACATATGAAATACATAACCTTGTGTGAACAAAAGGAGGCTTGTTCAAGCCTGTTTACTAAGCCTGTTTACTAGGGTATGTAGTTTTTAACCAGAGTGCTGGAGTATGTGGTCTTGGTTGAGCTGTTCCCTATAAACTTCTAAATAATGAATACCAGTACAAGTCGCTCACATACTGGTATCTGGGTCTTTTTCTATGATCCCCTGAAATATCTTTGTATTAAAATCTAAATATTTGTTTCTATTAAGACACCCTAGAGGCTTTAAATGCAAGGAATATGTTGATATTTGAGAAACATTTTTTTTGCATACAAAGCATAATGCCCCTCTATGAAGTATGTATGTTTTTATAAAAGGTTTTATCCCTCACTAAACTTGAAAGTAGGTTTCTAGGTATTTGAAAAATGACTCAAATATGTTTTAACTTTTAAAGTACTCCCTGTAACCACCTCCCAGTCCTCAATGAATCAATGGACATGTATACTATATATAATACAGTCAGAATTGACAAACATGTAAAAATGCTAAATGAATTGTATGTTATTATATGATATTCATTAACATATCTTATACAATATAATAAACTGACTGACCGGTATACATAATTGCAGTACATGGCATATAGTATGATTTTGTTTGTTTGTGTTGAACGGCCCATCGGCAACTGTGGTCATTTAGGGTCATATGGTGATTTATTTATTTATTTTATTCAACAAACATGAGATATAGTATGAATTAACATGTGTGTTATATACATTATGAATTGAAATGCATTCGTTTTAAACTTTTATATTTTTTGAATGTTTCAGGTTTAAGGAAAGCAAAGAAGTATGACTGGAAGGATTCCAATATGGCCCTGTTTGGCTCCGACACCGATAAAAAAGTCAAAAGTAATTGTCCAAACACACATACGTAAACATTGAAAGTCTATTCAAAATATTTATTCAGTGTTACAGAATAACTTCAGTGTTGGGAATTAAATCCAGCAACAACATACTGAGATTATAATGGGGGAAATACCAGCTATCTAGTTTGTATTGATATAATGTTTTAGCTGTTGTTAACGTTAATTTGTTACGCTAGACAATTCAGTACAGGTGAAGATAGTGTGTGAACAGGTAAGTTGTACCAAATATACGTTCTTGGCTGGTCGGCTGACTGACTGTCGCGGTTCAGGAATTTTTCGGTTCGGTTATCATTTTTGTTGTCGGTTTTCGATTATTTCGGTTCGGTTCAGGCAACTTTGTAATCTTGTGTATTTTATTATACACAATCACAAATAGAATATGTAAACAAACTTCATTATTTACACCCTTGAACAGTAATATACAATTGTCTACTAGTCCTCTTCTGAGGGTATTGAGTATAAAGATACTAACACGAAGAATCTGTCGCTTGTATTAGGTATATCGATGTCTACAACTTAACTGTCCCATCTTAAGTTGACTTGTTGAAACATCTATGTAATATATATTTCCTTCATTATATCATGCAAATATCTTGGTCTCCATTGCACAATCTATGTGCTTACTAGACACTCGTGTTCTTTCCTTTATTATATCATGGCCTGCAAACATTTCAGTCTCCGTATTAACTAACCGTTGCCAGTGCTAACCTACCTCTTGTTTATTATGTATGTTGCTCATGTACCTTAAGGTTTGACAATCTGACTAGAATCATGAAAAGTAAAAATCAATATTAAATTGGTGTACTTTACGGGATCTAAGTCATCAATGTCTGCCGTTAACGTACATGATGTACATATATATACCGCTATGAAATCGGTTAAAGTTGTGTGTAAAACTTTTTTTAAGGCAAAGGCCTCGTGTTGTCATGTTTTCTGCACTGGGCCCATGTGTTGAATCCAGTTTCGTTCGTAGCTGCTGATTTCCAAGTTATATCAGATATATAGGCCAACATTGATTGAAGAGGTAAATCCCGAGAAGTGTTTAATTTGTGTTTATACATAATATCCATGTACAGTTACTGTCTTGTGCACAAGACTGTCTGCGATGAGAAAATCCAAGTCGAAGCTGCTATTTCAAACTGTCGTACTTATTATTGCGGTTGCATGACTACGGAGTCAGGGGCGTGAATCAATCGAGATATGACACAAATAAAACATGCCTTTGCTGCTATCAAACAACTACAACCCACTTATACAGGACCGAACCGAAATACGGAAATTATGAACCGAACCGAACCGAACCGTGGTCTTTTGAACCGCGGTTAACCGTTATTTCAGTTAACCATGACACCCCCTACTGACTGAAAACGGTAATAAACAAACTGGTGAATCATAATACATATACTCAAAATATTATATAAATATATTTGAATACATGTATAAAAAAAATAGGGAATAAATGTTGTTCATTTGAATGTAACAATTCTCTCATGACCTTGGTACATATGTATGTATACCGGTAGGTAGAGTAATATATATATATATGTATGTATACCGGTAGGGAGAGTTATATATATATATATGTATGTATACCGGGAGGTAGTTATATATATATATATGTATGTATACCGGGAGGGAGAGTAATATATATATATATGTATGTATACCGGTAGGTAGAGTTATATATATATATATGTATGTATCCCAGTAGGTAGAGTTATATATATATATATGTATGTAGAGCGGTAGGTAGAGTTATATATATATATATGAATGTATACCGGTAGGTAGAGTTATATATATATATATATTTATGTATACCGGTAGGTAGAGTAATATATATATATGTATGTATACCGGTAGGTAGAGTTATATATATATATATGTATGTAGAGCGGTAGGTAGAGTTATATATATATATATGAATGTATACCGGTAGGTAGAGTTATATATATATATATATTTATGTATACCGGTAGGTAGAGTAATATATATATATATGTATGTATACCGGTAGGTAGTTATATATATATATATGTATGTATACCCGTAGGTAGAGAAATATATATATATATGTATGTATACCGGTAGGTAGTTATATATATATATATGTATGTATACCGGTAGGTAGAGTTATATATATATATATGTATGTATACGTATATACCAGATATAAACATATTCACCTACTGTATTTGCAAACATTACTTTACCCCAGGTGACTGTAATGTGCAGTCTTCATTCTAGGCCTGTTAAGTTTGTTAGGGGTGGTGGCTACCATGTTGGATCAAATGAATGACCTTGATCTTTTCAGTTTTCACAGGGGGTTAAATATGATAAACATTTTTTTCTCTCTATATTTTCAAGTTCTGTAATGACTAAAATAATAATTATATATTATATAATCAGCCTGTAGCTGATTGGTATAACTTGGGTAGCATGTTTCTCATGCAAATAACATTTAAATGACATAATCTTTGTAAACTTTGTTAAACGTTAATAAAAAATAAATATATATATATATGACAGAAAAAGTAAAAGTTTTAATTAGGATTCACACAATCTGTTTTTCTCATTTCTAATGCTATTTGGTTGTTGTAGAGGAGTCGGCCGAGACAGAGCCAGCTTGGAAGGGTGCTGGACAGAAGCCTGGTCTCCAGATCTGGAGGATTGTGGTCAGTAAATGCTGGTCAAGACTTGCTGGACAATGGTCAATGTCATCAGTGTTGCAATATACTCTATATGATGTCTACATAAATCTTGAAATATGCTTAATTTTGACAATGCATTTCTATTGAAAATGTAGAAAATATCCGCAGTTGATTACCATTATGAACTTTACACACAAGTTTGAGGGTATGTAGGACCACGGAATTAGATTATTGTTATCTAAGTCCGTGGTAGGACTGACTGTATTACTGGTCCGTCACTGTTTGTTGGATGTACATGGTGAAGGTCTTTCAAGTTTCTTCAAACAAATAAATTCCTTGACCCCCTTTCAAGGTCATTGAAATTACATGTACTTCACCAGAATCTCAAATACAGTTACCTTGTGTATGCATTTATGTTTCTCATTTTATGCTTCTTAAAGCGTAATTACCAAACTACTGTGTCCACCTTTAAAGAGGATGTGTTTATTTAGAAAGTATATCTTGTTGTTTGCGTTTTTCAGAAATTCAAGGTGACAGACTGGCCGACTGAAGATTATGGTCAGTTCTATAGCGGGGATTCCTACATCATCCTCAATGTTAGTAATTTTGTTCAGTCTCTAACAAGGTTAATTTATTGTAGTCCTATGTGCTGCTGAATTTTCCTCTCCAATCGACGGTTTAGGTCTGAACTGCAATGCTACCAGCATTATAAGATAAAAATATTTCAAACTTGCCCTGCAGGTCAGGTAAAAATACATTTACCCTACTGATAATTAGTAAGGAGAGCATTCATTGTACTGATATGAAAATTAGTAAGGAATATAATGTGTATAATCAACTATTAGACCTTTAAGTGTTATTCTAAATATGATGATTTGATTGTTTCTTTGGTCAGACCTACAAGGAGGAAGGTAACGAAGAGTTGCTGTATGATGTTCACTTCTGGATTGGTAAATACAGCACCCAGGTAAGTACAATACACAGGTAAATACAGCACACAGGTAAGAACAATACACAGGTAAATACAGCACACAGGTAAGTACAATACACAGGTAAATACAATACTTAGGTAAATACAATATACAGGTAAGTTCAATACACAGGTAAATACAAGACACAGTTAAATACAAAACACAGGTAAGTACAATGCACAGGTAAATACAAAACACAGGTAAGTACAATACACAGGTAAATACAGCACACAGGTAAGTACAATACACAGGTTAATGCAACACACAGGTAAATACAGCACACAAGTAAGTACAAAACACAAGTAAATATAGCACACAGGTAAGTACAATTCACAGGTAAATACAGCACACTGGTAAGTACAATACAAAGGTAAATACAATACACAGGTAAATACAATACACAGGTAAATACAAAGTACAGGTAAGTACAGTACACAGGTAAATACAACTCACAGGTTAATACAGCACACAGGTAAGTACAATACACAGGTAAATACAGCACACACCACACAGGTAAATACAATACACAGGTAAATACAGTACACAGGTAAATACAATACACAGGTAAGTACAGTACACGGGTAAATACAGCACACACCACACTGGTTAGTACAATACACAGGTAAGTACAATACACAGGTTAATACAGAACACAGGGAAATATCAATACACATATATATACAGCACATGGGGAAAATACAATACACAGTAAAGTAAATTACACAGGAAGGAATCAGTATAGAAGTTCATTACACAGGTTCATCAACTGGGTTTTATACATGTCTGTCTGAAGGCATTTTATTGATATATATTACCTCCATAAATCACACGGTCTTTACAGGTTTATATTTTAGACACATTGCAGTATGCGTAAGTTAAAACAGATTCATTCACATTCCTTATATGATTAATATTATTTTGCAAAAACCTAATTAACTTCAGTAAAATTCAGTCCAATAGTGCATTTATGTGACAAAGTGAAAATTTCACTGTTTCATGTTTCTTTTGATCTTGAATTCCCTGTTTATCTCATAAAAGAATTCAGAACTTAAATCATTTCGGATAAAATGTAACTCTTTAAAACCTGTTAAAACAAATATTGTTTCACCAACAGGATGAGTATGGAACGGCTGCCTACAAAACAGTGGAGTTAGACACCATGCTTGATGATAAACCAGTTCAGCATCGGGAGACCCAGGGATTCGAGTGCGATATGTTCAAGGGTTATTTTGATGCCATAAGGTAAGTTCATGAAAATAGGCCTACTGGAAGGAGCTGTTTCTTTGAATAAAATGTTTCTTTGAATAAAATGAAAAGAGAGAATGGAATTCAAAAATAAAAAATTAAACAGAATAGTAGAGCCGAGGCCAATCCAAAAGTTTGTGGTTGTTTAGTGGGGCGCTGTGCTTCAGCATGTGCACAGCGATTATGAACGATAAAATGTAAAAAGGGACGATTGATGAAGCCTCGCACACAGAGGCGAAACTAGTCGGCCTGTAAAATGAGTACCTTTGACACTTGAGCATGTCGTGATTGATTCGTCCATTCTTTTAAATGTCAATAAGATACATTTCAGATTGATCAATACATTTCAGAATGATCAGTACATATATGTATCTTATCTGAAGAAGTTTCCTTATCGTCAGTGGTAATTTATCTCTTTAGTATAGAAAAAACAACAATCTTTTCCCAGAAACTCTAACTAGATAGCGGGACAACCAGATTAGAAGGAACTGGATTTAGGAGGCACAACTGCTTCTTTGAAGTTAACTCATTCACCCCTGAAGACACATTTGAATTCTCCCAATTCAAAGGTTGTAATAGTTCATCATGAAATTTCATGGTTTGTTGGTAAGGGGAGGTAATCTTATCAATGGACTGTGTTGTTAGGGGGAGGTAATGTAGTTAACGTCAAGGTGCACTGCATGTTAAGGGAGGTAACTGGAGTCGCTATCAATTACATGGTGCAGTCATATCAACTTACTTTCTTAGGGAAAATGGCTGCATTACACCCTTTCAATCTGGTTTTAACCCAAAAGATTCTTCTATATTTCAATTAACCAATATTGTAAATACTTTTTTCCAAGCGATTGATAGTGGCAAGGAGGTTCGGTTGGTATTTTGCGACATTAGTAAAGCCTTTGTTAGAGTGTGGCACAGGGGTTTAATACACAAACTTAAGCAAAATGGTATTTCTGGTACATCATTTTCTTGGTTTGTGAGCTATCTTGATGGACGCAGTCAAAAAATAATTGTTGAAGGGAATTCATCTGCTAAAGGGAAGCTACAGGCAGGTGTGCCACAAGGCTCAATACTAGGGCCTTTTCTGTTCATTATTTATATTAATGATTTTTTTAATGGTATAAATGCTAGTATTCTATTATTTGCAGACGATACTTCACTTTACATCATAGTTGAAAATCCGACTCGCTCAGCAGAGTTACTAAATTCCGACTTGACTATTTTAAGTACCTGGGCACAGCAATGGTTGGTAAACTTTAACCCCAATAAAACTACAAGTATGATTCTATCTAGGAAACGTGTCAAAGTCGATCATCCTCCATTAATAATGAATAATACACAAATAGTACAAGTCAGTAGTCACACACATCTTGGGGTAACCATTGAAAAGAGCTGCTCTTGGAATTTACATATTGACAACATACTTGGGAAAGCATGAGAATTGATATATTGAGATCACTGAAATTCCAACTAGATCGAAAATCTTTAGAAACTGTTCTTTTCTTATATTAGGCCTATCCTAGAATATGCGGATATTGTCTAGGGGAACTGCAACCAACAGCAGATTCTTGATCTAGAAAAGTTACTAACTGAAGCAGCTCGTAGTGTGACAGGTGCAACCAAGTCCGCGTCTTCACAATCCCTTGTTAATGAAACCCAATGGGAATCATTGTCCTACAGGAGATATAAACATAGGATGCAAGCTATGTACAATAACATTATTCTCTACTGCTAATCCTATTATCTATTATTTCAAATGGTTGGCCTTGATTGTAAAATTAGCTATATCAGTTGAATTTATATAATTATTGATGTTATTTAACCTGTTTGTGTTATGCTGCAATCTTCTCATTGTTGGGAGATGGCTTAAAATAAGAGCCTACTCTTGTTGCCTGATCCCTGATATTACATTATGTAAAATTATATATTATGTACAGCATATTTGTAAATAAATATTATTTAAACCAACGTAGCTAAACCTGAAATGAAATATAACGGGCAGAGACTGGGACCTAGGCTGACCTTTGGAAAATCAGACATGTTGTGCCTGGCTGAAAGTTTATGGCTCATTACTTATATATATATCACTAGTACGTGGTAGTTCTGTATTTTGGAAAATGTTATCAAAAAGTTTTTGAAAGAAACAAAAAGCTTGCGCTATTGCCAACTGTTTGACCCCTCTCTCTCTCTTGGTCCCTGTGTTTTTTTGTTTAAGTGAAACAGACAATGGTGAAAGGGTTGGATTTTGTAAAGGGAAGTAACCTAGGGGTGTACATTTGATTGTTTACAGTGTCATGAAGGGTGGTGCTGATACTGGGTTCCGCCGGGTTCTACCAGAAGAGTACAAAACACGCCTGTTGAAGTTCTGTGGCCTCAAGAAGTCGATAGCAGTCACAGAGGTATGGTATGATTGTGGAATCGTAGGAGGTTACTTTAGTCACTCTTCCATTTCAAGTAATATAGTTTCCAAGTATGTAACCCACCAAAGCATAAATTGACGATAAAGATAACTTGAGAAATTATTAATTTAAAGGTTTAGATATACAGTTTTTACCATGCCAGACTCATCTGTCAAACAAATTTTACTGAATTAATTTTCTGAAAAGAAAGGTGTTGTAAGGAGAAGTTAAATGACCAAAAAGTTTATTCATTACTTGATTTATAGGTGCCGACAGCCAAGTCAAGCTTAAACTCTGACGACGTGTTCATTATTGATATGGGTCTTCAAGTGTACCAATACAACGGCTCGAATGCCAACAAGGATGAGCGCTTCAGGGTTTGTACAGAGTTGTCTCCCATGCTTTTCGAAAAGTTTTGGATATCTGGTAGTTACTGATGTTTTCTGGGGGGAAAAATCAAGAAAATTTGCTTAGCAATAAATCTGTTAATAACTTTTTTTTTATATTTATTAATTATTTTCTAGTGCCTCACTTTGAAAATCAGGTGATACTGACTACCTTCACTATTTACTTCCCCCCACGCCCGTTTAAAGTAACAGGAGTAGAAAATTATATATAAGGAGGGCCCCTCATGGGAGATGCGGTTGTCTTGTAGCAATCGCTGTCTCTGTCTGTTCATACATCTATCCAAACTTTGTTTTTCTGGAGATTATATTAGAATCCAAAAGACAAATCTTTTTGAAATTTGACATGGTGATACACTGTGAAATAGAGATATCCGCAATGAGTGAAAATATTTTTCTATGGTCAAGGTCAAGGTCACTACTACTTAAAATAGATCATGTGCGCATGTAGTCCTTATCTCGAAATCCAAAAGACCAATCTTTTGAAGCCAAATAGTGATGTCATGCTGCCAGCGAGATGGCACGTTAGGGCCTTTAACTCACCCAATCAGTTATTTCTTTTTGCCTTTTTTTTCAACCAGATATAGGCTTCTTCCACTAGTAGAAAAAATCCAGGAAAAATTAAAACGTTTTCCTAATTTCAATAAAAATCGTGCTATATTTTCTGAATTCCTGTCGGTACAGGCTGGTATAAAAATTGAGTAGAAACTATATCATCTGTTTCACGTTTTCTTTGTAAACCTGAAACAAAACACTCATTTTATTTACATCAGGCTACACAATACCTGCAGAAGTTGAAGAGTGACCGAGGAGGCAAGGTCAAGGTTGAGGTGCTGGATGAGAGGGACACTTCTGAAGAAGTAAGTTGTGGTTGTGCAAACTGTCTTGTAATAGGGAAGTGACCTGATTTCCCCAAAAAATTGACATGGGATTCTCTAAAACTGTAAATTCCATAAAATCTTTAATATTGTGATGCCACTTTATATTTCTGATGTAAATGAAGATGAATCTAGACGTTCTCTTCTTAAATAATGTAATCTCCCCCAGATTTTCCATGAACTGTAAAAAATGAAATATTAATTTGAGTACCTTGGGTAAGTACTTTTTCTCTGAGCAAATTTGAATGTTTGAAATTTGGTATGTAGGTGTACCACGTACTGCATAACACTGCAATTTTCGTAAGCATTATTGAAGACTGCAGGGGTATTTTGTGACAGGTTTACTTTTAAATTTGACAATAATATAGGTCAACATGTGCTTTTGTGGGTAAAAAACTTTACACATCTTCTCAAAGTCAGTAAGGCACAAGGTTGTAATATTTAGGCAAGAGGTACTTCAGGCGGATTGCTTTTAATTTTCTTAATATAACTGACCTCGGCAAACTTTCAAGTTTGCAAGAGTTTCAGAGTCATAACTTGGAAACGGTTTAGGTCCCCACTCGACAACCATATAAGTGCTTGATGTGTGTTAATAAATGAGTACAAGCATGCTACCTAGATTAGCCTGCAACCGGTTTGTCTGTTTTTAAATGTAACATTTGTTTGCGCAGGCCTTGCAAGGCCTTGTCAAGGCTCGCTTGAAAGCAGCATCAAATAACTAGGTCCGACCTTATTTTATAAACGAACAGCTCTGGTCCAACCGTTTGGATTGCGATGTACGAATGTGGCCCTGGGGTCTAGCTCCACCACTAGGGAATTAGTCCTAGGTTCATAACATAGAAAGGTTTGAAATCCCAATTCTAAAATCATATTCGCATATAAATTATCTAAACCAAATGTTTGCAGTATTTATTTAAATGAGAATCTTTTTTCATGATAGCTTGAACATCAAGGTAGGCAGTGCAGGCCCTCTGGGCACTTTGTTTATAGCTCAACTTTTTCTTTGTTTCAGGATCCTGCATTTAATAACCTGAAGAAGGACCGTGATGATGATGATGACGAGGACGATGATGAAGTAGATACCGCTGGAGTGCCTACGTTGTATAGGTATATAAAATAATAAAAAGACCAAGTTTTCCTGTAATTTGAACAGTAACAAGCAAAGGTAGATATGGGATCACTCAAAGCCATAAACCCAAGTTCCTTGCTTTAGTTTGATGCAAGGCCATAATTGTTCAATGAGGCAGCTTGGCTGATGAATTTTAAATGAAATAATTTGAAGGATTATCATTCTTTCATGAAACAATAAATAAACATATATGTGTTTTGTTAACGCAGAATCTCCGATGCTTCTGGCAACATTGAGTTCAGCGAGGTCGCTCAGGGAAAGATCAGTAAGAGTATGTTAGATTCCAAGGTAAGTTCATGGCTCATTGATTCAATTATTGGTAATAAACTTAGTCACTGCTGGAGATAACTCCTGTCAACATACTGTCTCTCTACTCTCCATTGTCGGAATAACGTATAAGCAAAGCTGTACAGTAAATGGTTACTAAAAACAGTGAAATTTTTCTTTATCAGCATCAATATTGGTTTGTGTTCAGGTGTAGTGTATTTATTGGTTTGTGTACAGATGTAGTGTATTTATTGGTTTTTGTACAGGTGTAGTGTATTTATTGGTTTGTGTACAGGTGTAGTGTTTTATTGGTTTGTGTACAGGTGTAGTGCATTTATAGGTTTGTGTACAGGTGAAGTGTATTTATTGTGTATCTTTTCTACAGGATGTCTTCATTTTTGATAATGTGACACATCTGTTCGTCTGGACTGGAAGCGGAGCCTCCATTGATGAGAGGAGAAACGCCATGTCATATGCTCATGTAAGTGTTGTTCCAAAATTAAACTATATCTTATTGTAGCAAGATTTTGAAGCCATCAAATTAAAATTGTACAAAGATATATCGGTTCTAGTAAAGACCTATATAAAATGGGGGATTGTACTACAGACACCTAAATATAGTCTCCTAGGATATCAATGGGGAGAGCCTGTCCAATGTCTATAGTGACCAACTGACAAAAGGTCAACCCCTGTGGAGATGCAGGTTGGTCAAATGTTGTGGAATATACGAATAATAAACCTATCAACACATTGTTCAAAGTTAACCGAGATTTCTTAACCATTCACAACAAGTTTAGCTGTGATACACTTGAAAAACATACACAAGTTAAATAATATATACATAAGATAAAACAAAATCCTTCAGAATAAAGGAGAAGATGCTGAAGAAAGATCATACGAATTATACATTGGGGCCTATAGGAGTTCTCTCCCTGGTAATCTGACCTTTGTCTGCAAACCTAACCAACAACAGCTTATATCGTTCCCTAATGTTGGTGTCCTGTCAGCAGGGGAGAAGGTATACTCTCCTGGTGATTGACCGGTGTCCAGCTATCCACTATCCAGCCATGCTACTGTAGTTGCCATTTGTCCGTTTCATTTCATTGTATACCCCAGCCTCCTGGCCCTGTGATCCTTACATTCATAGCTGTCAATCCTCCCTCATTAGGAGGGAAAATCCCTCATTTTGACCAAAATTTACCATTCTCCCTTGAAACTCTCTCATTCAAGTCCAAACTCACACATAGTCAAAATTTACATCCTGTGATCAAATGATCTCCTAGTTACTGCAGGGTGTGTGTAATGAGCATAACAGGTGTGTCTGAATCAAATGAATGCTTTTTGGAGTTATTTTTATACACTAAAACGGAAAGATGAATTGAGCAATGTAGATTTAGTTGTGTTTCATGCACTTTCTCCATCATTGGAAATGTGGAATAAGGGAGATCTCCCTCATTTGAGGTTTCAGAGGTTGACACTTAGGCATTGCATTGCACACCCATATGCAGCCTGGTGGGATCAACTTCCAGTAACTTATCAAAAGCTAGTTGTCTCCGGTCCCCTGAAAACAAGTAGACTACACAAATGATAGATACTATTTGATAGGAAACATTCACCAAACAAACAGCCCGGCTGTACCGTTGATTACTTTTATATTGAAGGAATACACAAGCATATGTTGTATACTGTTTCACTTTCCTCCAGCCTAACTTTCACCCCTTTGCCAGTAAAATCCATATTCACCAAGTGTTAATTTTGCCTTTTACATTTGATAACCATGTTTATAAAGTTGTTTACTCATGTTTGCTGTAATGATAAATATGCCCTAAGTGCTTCGAACAAAACAGGCGAAAATTAAACGGAGAAGAAAATTTCCCTGTATACAGTGATAGTTTAACCGTATTTTGGCTTGTAACCAATTTTCGAACAAAACTTAAAATCTGGCTAATCCACTACAAGATTTACTGAACATTTTAATGCACTATTGCCAAGATTCATTTGGTATGAATGTCCCAGCATTCATTTTGATAAAGGGAGGTAACTGTGGCTTTGTATTATCCTATTCAGTAAGTTTGGTGCTCACACAGCTATTTCTTGCCCATGCCATTTCACAGGTGATGTTTTATCTGGAAATATTTATTTTTTTAAATTTTAGAAGCACTTGATGAAGTCAAACCACCCCACAATCCCTGTCACATGTGTGTGTGAGGGAGGCAGATCTGATAAGGACTTTGAGGCTGTCTTCAAGTGAACACAAAGGCAGTAGATGGTCCTGGTAGAACAGGGTGCCTACGCATCGCCACTCGTACTTACTTTCACCAGTACAGCAAACCTAGGCTAGCCACACATCACATCAAAATATGCTACCTTGGAAAAAAATATTGGAAGTGTATCGATTTGGAACAATTTGGTTGCTGTCAACTTCAGAAGTGGATGAAAAATGGGAAAGATGTAATAATATTTAAATAGACGAAAGAAAACCCAATCATATTGTGGGTATGAACGAAAACATTGCTAATACATGCTGGCAGCCTTTTAAGACATTACAACTTTATTACTGCAGCTTAGCTATAAACCAACCATTGTGAAGTCTAGAATATATATATGTATTCTTATATATTGTTGGTACATTTGTCAACGTTTCTCATTTATCAGAGAAAAAAATAGTTTTGTAACTTTGAGGATTTTATCTTACAGTATATTTATAATATCAATTATATGTCTTCATTGTTTCCTATCACCCCTTTTAATACCTTCACTGTATTCTACTAACAGTATAATTTGAATTAAAATGTGCACAGGACTTGTCTCTTTACAAAATATTTCTCTATTATTCACTAAACATGCCTTTACTTATGTTACATATTCCTTTATTAAGTTGTTATCGATTTGTGGACCAAGTTTTGTTTCTTTGTACCTAAACATAACTTAAATATCCTAACAATATATTTAAGTAATCCTTATTTGACACACGCAATGTGTAAAGTATATAAAAGTCTTTAAATGCAGATATTGTTTTTATTATTACACTGAAAATAAATCTATTTCCAAGAGAAATATATTGGTGATTGAAATTTGGACACGAGTCATATCATTTCTTAATGGTTCAATCTTGAATTTTGATATTAACTGCTTTTATAACAAAGTTTTTAAGAAAATGTTACTGCTGCTGACAAACCTGGCACTTTAAATTGGTGAACATTGAAACTATGATGGTTGTGTCTCAAAATGTTTTTTAATATTTGTGGATTACTTATTTTCATTAACACAACACCAATAAATCGTGCCAATCCTATGTGAACAAACTGCTTAGTGCTACGCTTATTATTTTTGCTATTTTACAATCGTTTAAATGTTTAGACTGTATAGATGTAGCCAAATTCGACCAATGTTTTTTCTGGAGATACATTAACAGTATTACCAAAGTGAGATTGACAATTAAGCCCAAAAAGTTTTTTGTTTGATGTTTTTTTCTGTTTGCCAATTCATTTCGTTTTAATATTTCGGCATTTGGTGCAATTCTGTTTGAAGCAGCCATGTTTTGTCCTTTGTTGCATTTAGCGAGACCAGCTGTATATCTAATTTGCATTCTTTGGTGAATTTAACTGCTTTAATTTGTAGACTTAATCCCTGTAGTTTTCTATTTCTGATATATACATAGTACCTAGCAATAAATAGTGCCTTTACACCATACACATTGTTGTTGTATTATTATTTATCAATATATTGATTCATTGTACCGCGACAATGAATAAGAGGGGTGTACTGGGATTGGTCATCCTCAAAATTCCAGGGGTTCCGCTCACTCACTTCTGTTCTCTGAACCGTTGGAATGTGTCCGGACAAAATTGGGGCATGTGGTAAAACACCTAGCCTCTTCAAGATTACAGACGAGCGATGCTCCACATCAAAGCCAGTTAATTTTACCGTTACGGTGGTGCATGATTATTTAGATGTACATCAAAGAATCAAACCAGTGTTATCCACAATGTAGTGCATACAGAGCTTTCAATTTCATCGTGACATATTTTCAGGGGTAAAGGGAACCACAGAGAGCATAACTCATGGAGTTTCGAGGATGGGAATCAGCTTTCCTATGTCTGTCTGTAGGTAATATATGTCTGTACCGGTCCTCCTCAACTAACCGACCAGTTTAAAAAAAAGCCTAGCCACTAGGCCAAGGGGATATAATGGTTTATAAACAAGCAATGTATCAACTCTTTGGACAGAGGAGCGGGCCAAATGGGGAAATAACGGAAGATTTAAGAAGAAAATACATGTACTGTTCAAGATACTAGTATTTGAATCAAATTTGCTTGGTCTGAAGCATCACTTGGCCAAGGGGAATCAATGCTGCATAATGGAAGAGTGCCCCCAGTCGATAAGGGGCAGCAAAATTTGGGGGAAAGTAGGTAAAGCATCTAGACTTCTTCCATACGTGTGCAGGATTTTGGTTCAAATAGGCTAAATAGGAGTAAATATTAAAGACTATGTCGGTATCTAGAAACGGATTTGGACCACATGTTTAAGCCTGAAGCTTTATTAGGCCATGCTCGAAGAGCAGGGAACCCATCCTTAGGAGCAGAGATACAGACCCCAGAAGGGAACATAAAGATGAATCTTTAAAATAAATACTTCTATGGTGGGTTTTTTGGCAAATGTCAACAGAAATGTGCAATTGGAAAAAAACTCAACAGACCAAGCCTTTCTCTATCAGACGCTTCATCAGAGGCTGCTTATTGCTAAGCTGTACGTAAGGTATAACAGTTTCTACTTTCCAATCGTGAACATTCCTTTTCTTGATTGTGACATCCCTTAGAAGTCGTAGATGCAGCAGAAGACGTTTACTTTTCCGGAACACCTGGTCTTATTTTCTTTGTGCTTTTTCAATTGCCTCCTTGGACATCTTTCTTGGTTCATTCGCACTATTTGGATAGATTTTGTAATGAATGAATTACGCTTTTGTTCCAATTTCGGTGTCCTGAAAAGCCTCTAAAGATCAGTATTATGTTCTTTATTTTTATTTTCGCCTCATCAAACGTTGTTCTTTTTGGGCTCCTTTGCATTCAGAGATGTTGTTTCAGACAATTTTGACTATGAGTTTCACCAGATCAATTAAAACTGAATAACGTAAAAGTGTTCCTCTCATTTTCCTTACAAAGCGTTGTTATTTGTATTATCTGGGTCTGTAAGAAATCTGAGATGACCACCACGGTCTCAAAGGAACACAAATACTTAACCTCTTATCTAATTCACATAACAAAAGAAACGAATGATCGATCCATGCCATATTCCGTCTTTGCGTATTGCAGAGTTATCTTCTCTTGGGAGCAGGTATTGATTGTTACGTCACTTGTTTGTGAGAGTAACGTCATCAATTTTTGAGAAAACGACGTAATTTTCTCACACAAACCAATGACGTAACAATCAATACCTGCTCCCAAGAGAAGATAACTCTGCAATACGCAAAGACGGAATAGGCCTCTTGTTGTCATTTGGAATGGTATTAGTCTATTAAAAATGAAGAAAAGAATGGTGAGTGGCGATGGTATTAGTAAATATTATAAAACCAGAAGTCTGTCATAAGGAGGTATAATAATTCGAGTCATTGAAAAAATCAGGTATGGCCATCAATTTTCCATTGGCTCACGTTTGCGAAAATATTTTCACTTTTTTCTAGTTCAGATAACAAAACCAATAGTTGATGGGCGTCTTGTTTCTTTAAGCTTATACGTTTTTAAAACATGCGTCTTTGTAGAGCCTGTCGTTATTAGTCGAAATGTCCATGCTTTTCAGTTGATTAAATTAACATGTGTTCCAAGTGATTTCCCACATTTTTTTTATATTTCTGTCATTATTTTGTTGTTTTGAAAAAAACAAAAAAAAATCTCTTTGAGTTTTGTTACGCTCGACCAGTATTAGGCAAAATGAAGTTAACACAATAGATAATTTCTTTGATTTTATTTTGTTTCTGATTGGAAATATGCAATATACTTCGGACTACACCAGTGGTACAGTATCAGCAAGATTAATAACTGATAGTGGTATTATATTCTTGACTATGGTCTTGTGGCCACTACACAGACAGAAGTGTAATTAAACCTGTGTCAGGACTTCAATTATGATATTGACCCCCAGGCCGACAGAGCGGATTGAAGTTAAGAGCTGTGCCACAGGAAGTTCTTAGCAATGACCTTGACCCAAGTCTGCAAGAGCACGATTGAACTTGAAGGCTGATGCATTAGGCCGCTAAAGCAGAAGTGAAATTAAAGGCAGCATCGATGGCCTGCTCTATGATGCAGCTTATGGGGATAAGGGGATGGTCAGTTTGCATCAGGTACGTCTGTAAAAATGGAGAAAAAAATATGAGATTTTGAAGATTTCCGGTGCGTATTGTAACCTTCGTAAGCATGCATGATCTTTGTTAAAACCACACACGTTAATTTGTAATGACCCAAAAAAAAACAGTAAAAAATTACAAATATCTCCAATTGGCTAGGCAATACTCACATGTGCATACGTCATAGCGAACTGGCTTTCATTGGCGGAGGTGTCCTTCCCAATAAATACGAACACTTCTGTTTTTGTATCGAATATGAAAACATCCTGTAAAACAAAATATACAGTATATCAACACGTCCTACCATAAAAAGATATACAGTATATCAACACGTCCTACCATACAAAATACACAGTATATCAACACGTCCTACCATACAAAATATACAGTATATCAACACGGCCTACCATACAAAATATACAGTATATCAACACGTCCTACCATACAAAATATACAGCATATTTACACCATACAAAATAAACAGTATATCAACACGGCCTGCCATACAAAATATACAGTATATCAACACATCCTACCATACAAAATATACAGTATATCAACACGTCCTACCATACAAAATATACAGTATATCAACACGTCCTAACATACAAAATATACAGTATATCAACACGTCCTACCATACAAAATATACAGTATATCGACACGTTCTACCATACAAAATATACAATATATCAACACGTCCTAACATACAAAATATACAGTATATCAACACGTCCTACCATACAAAATATACAGTATATGAACACGTTCTACCATACAAAATATACAGTATATCAACACGTCCTTCCATACAAAATATACANTACCATACAAAATATACAGTATATCAACACGACCTTACATACAAAATAAACAGTATATCAACACGTCCTACCATCCAAAAGCAAACACATGTCTGACATGACAAAACATACGCAATCTTAACACGCCGTTGTCTAAGTGATCAATTCTACAATAATTAAGCAATCTTAACTACAGACAGAGAGATTCGCATACATAGGTAAAAGGACAGAACGGATAAAGATGCATGCAAAAGACATTCGGAATAGCCCGCAATAGACGTAGGACGACTGGTTCGCCCGTTGTCAGTATAATGTGACCTGGGGTGTCCTGCCGGGTGTCTCCGGCAGTATGTTTCAGTTAGGTAGCACTATAAAGTCGGCATCAGTTCCGCGCTATCACAAGGAAACAAACACGAACATATCGCAGACCTACCAAAACACACACGCATACACTACACGCATGCATCTTGCACACAGGGGAGACCGTCCTTAAATGGCCATAGCTGTTGATAGGACGTTAAGCAATATTAAACCAAACCAAAGCAATAGACTTACAGACATACAATAGACATATGGACAGATACATGTATTCAATATTTGTAAACAAATAGACAACAGACATAGAGACAAACTTTCATTAGACGTACAAACACATCAACGATGCTGACAGTCACACAACAGGCAAGCAGATGCATAACAAACAGGCCCAAGCTTTTTTTCTTTGACCTTGTAAATGTCATTCTCACCTTTTCATCAAAATCCTTCAATTTGATTGATCCTGTCTTCTCAAGGCTGAAGGACATCATGCCACTCTCGTCCGATAACCTGTTACGACATGGCCATTACTTTTATAAACATTGTAAACAATGTCTAGATCATCGCATTAAATATGGGTTTCAATGCTTGTACATTTGTGTAGAAACAACCATGTTTTGCAATAAAACATATTGTGGACATTCAAGAGTTCTAAAGTAGTTTTTTTTTATAAATAATTCATTGTAAAAATTGGAAACTTTCAGAAAAGCTCCTACATAAAGAAGAATCTGAAATAGTCATCCATTGATAAAAAATACCCAGGTATTTATAAATTTGTCATATATCATTTCACAATTCACATTTTAATTATTGGAGCTAATGCCTCATTAAGCGAAGCAACCTTTGCACAACTGGATGCCGGTGACGATAAAGACTTCCTGCGACATCAATAAAAAAGAGATTATGTAAAATAATTTACAGATAAATCCTATGTCAACAGAAACTATATATCTATAGGTATCAGATATAAACACTAGCCTGTACAGTTCTTTGATAGTGTCCTTCGCCTGGTAAGACTGGTCGTCGTCCTTTTCAGCCACCTCGTCAAGGTACGTGAAGAACTTGTGCTGCGAATGGAGATATATCGGGGAAATGTACATGGCAATAAGTAGAAAGGAAATCGTCGGAATAAATGGGGAAGAAGAGAGTGAAAATACAACATCCCGAAATAACTCAAGTCACTGAAAAAATCTACTTAGGAAGCATCCTCTTCCAGTTTCAAAACGCTTTTACTTGTGGTCCTGAAGTCTCCTCCCTTAGTTGTCTACCTACGCTTGCATCTTGGTCTGCGGTACGCTTTCGTAGCTCCATGCAGACTCCTACTCCTGGCCAGGTAGCAGATTCCCTCTGTTCCCTACGTCTACTCCTTGGTGTGTTATCCATTCCCTCAGTTATCTTATTTACAACTGGCCCTGTGATTTCGTGCCTTACTTCCCTACCCACACTTACCTTTGGCTCCGTGGATTCCTCGTCAAGGACCTCCGATATTGCCTTTCCACAACGCTGTTCCTTTAAATCCACAATATACTGCATCGCCTAAAGAAAACGTTGTACAGTGATATACTATAGAATGTGAATTTTCAAAATACATACATATCAAAGTTCACTCTAATTCAGACAGCATTTGTACAATCAGACGGACAGCAAAACACATCCAAAAAAAAAAGCTATGAATTGTAGTTTTTCCATTATTTTGATAAATGTCGAAACTTAACTTTCTGAAGCGACGTGCTACCACCCTTATTGACCGATAGTCTTCTTTTACGTTGTCGCCCACTTTGGATCATTTGGTTTTGTTGCTACATACATTGAACCTAACGTCTTCACTCAATGATACAAGACAGGAACCATTCATCTCTGTTGCTGCCCACTAAAATCCTACCTTTTATTGCTTACCATGTTGACCCACTCGTCTTTGTTACATCCAACTTGACATCAACGTCATTGTTGTTTCCATCATTTGATTTCTTGTTTTTGTACGTATATGTATTGCACCATTTGCCGTTGTTATTATCATGTTAATGTCATTATCTTCACTATTTTATGTTATTATGTAAATGATGCGTGACACTGCAATAAACTATTGATTGATTGATTGTTATTTGCCATACTGGCAGTCCTGCCCCGGTTGTTTCAAAACTAGCACGTCCTTGTTTCTACCTATCTTGACCCGCTCGTCCTTGTTGCTACCTACCTTGACCCGCTCGTCCCTGTTGCTACCTACCTTGACCCGCTCGTCCCTGTTGCTACCTACCTTTACCCGTTCGTCCTTGTTGCTACCTACCTTGACCCGCTCGTCACTGTTGCTACCTACCTTGACCCGCTCGTCCTTGTTGCTACCTTCCTTTACCCGTTCGTCCTTGTTGCTACCTACCTTGACCCGCTCGTCCCTGTTGCTACCTACCTTGACCCGCTCGTCCTTGTTGCTACCTACCTTTACCCGTTCGTCCTTGTTGCTACCTACCTTGACCCGCTCGTCACTGTTGCTACCTACCTTGACCCGCTCGTCCTTGTTGCTACCTTCCTTTACCCGTTCGTCCTTGTTGCTACCTACCTTGACCCGCTCGTCCCTGTTGCTACCTACCTTGACCCGCTCGTCCTTGTTGCTACCTACCTTTACCCGTTCGTCCTTGTTGCTACCTACCTTGACCCGCTCGTCACTGTTGCTACCTACCTTGACCCGCTCGTCCTTGTTGCTACCTTCCTTTACCCGTTCGTCCTTGTTGCTACCTACCTTGACCCGCTCGTCCCTGTTGCTACCTACCTTGACCCGCTCGTCCTTGTTGCTACCTACCTTTACCCGTTCATCCTTGTTGCTACCTAACTTGACCCGCTCGTCACTGTTGCTACCTACCTTGACCCGCTCGTCACTGTTGGTACCTACCTTGACCCGCTCGTCCTTTTTGCTACCTACCTTTACCCGTTCGTCTTGTTGCTACCTACCTTTACCCGTTCGTCCTGGTTGCTACCTACCTTGACCCGCTCGTCCTTGTTGCTACCTACCTTGACTCGCTCGTCCTTGTTGCTACCTACCGTTGCCGGCAGTCCTGTCCCGGTTGTTTCAAAACTAGCACGTCCTTGTTTCTACTTAGCTTGCCTCGCTCGTCATTGTTGCTACCTACCTTGACCCGCTCGTCTCTGTTGCTACCTACCTTGACCAACTCGTCCTTTTTGCTACCTACCTTGACCCACTTGTCCTTGTTGCTACCTACCTGGAACCGCTCGTCCTTGTTGCTACCTTTGCCGTTCCACTGATAAATCACCAGGCCAAGATCAAGTATGTAAACGTCAGTCGAATCCAGCTTGTTTTTGTCCCTGGGAATCTGACCATAATGAACACATACACTCTTTCATCTTATCGACACGACTGCAATGTCAGATGGCAAAAAACTTCGCAGTCAAAGTCATTTTCGTTATAAAAAGAAAGGTTGTCAAAAGTGTTTTGACAGCATCGACCTGGAAATCCTAAGTATTGCTGAACCTATATTGAAAGGTTATAAAGTCTCTAAATGTTCTACAACACTTTCGCTTGTTTTTT